TTGATCAAAGTTCGATTGAATAATAGAAATGAAGGTAGGAACCCTAAATACCTTCGTATCAGTTTTGATCTAACATATGTAACATTTCTTAAATTCGTTAGTTTATTGAGCAACAGGTTGTCCCGAAATTATATTAACAAAGTGTTTTTTTGTGTTTCAGAAACTTGTTAACGTAACACTCGATATAGAAATAAATATATAAACACTCAAGATATGTAACATTTTTGGTCAGATTCGGAAGAGAGCGCTACAGTTCTGAGCAGTATTAGCTCTCATCACACCAGCTAAATTTAAGATTCATCCATCAGAACTTTATGTTGCCAATGGACAACAAATAGTCTAGAGTGCAGGTCCATCTGTATTACAGATAAGGGGTCCAGTCCGCCATTTTCTGACGCCTATGATAACCACAAAGAAAATCCAGAATATTTAAGTAATTCATTAAAAACATATTCCATTAAAAATAGATTAATTAGTAAAATGTTTAATTTATTTTGTGTAAGATATATGAATAGTTGCTAGAATATAAAACTTTAATAAAATATTAGTTTCTTTAAAAAAACACTAGATGGCAATGTAAAACAAAGGAGTTAGAAATCCCATTTGAAATATGAAGCTTCTAAGCCTAATTTATACAACCTAGACACTTTGGAAATTGCATTTCTTGCAAATTACTGAAGTAATATTGAATCTGAGGGTGTTAGGCTAAGGACTGTAACATTATAATCTCTACTTCTAAAGAACAAAATGATGTTAACACTACATCCGTATAAATATATTTTATTAATTTAATTCAAATAACAGTTGTCAAGTTTTCATTGTCATCAGGTTCATCTTGGTTAATTAGTATGATGGTCTTGAAGAATGGTATCGCGTATTTATATTGAGATGACTTAAATGACATTTGTAAAGTTTTTCATTGTCATCAGGTTCATCTTGGTTAATTAGTATGATGGTCTTGAAGAATGGTATCGCGTATTTATATTGAGATGACTTAAATGACATTTGTAAAGTTTTTCATTGTCATCAGGTTCATCCTAGTTAATTAGTATGATGGTCTTGAAGAATGGTATCGTGTATTTATATTGAGCTAATGTAAGGGACTGTTGTGATGTAGATGCTGGACTTTCTTTACAGACCTATACACTACGATGGACCTGTGGAAGAAGTCTGTATAAGATACACGGATGTAAATCTGGCCTTAGCGGAGGCGAAACGGAGGAAAGGTTCGTAAGTTTCTTTGTCTATTTTAGTTAGAGTAATAAAGAAGTTAAACCTGAACGTCGTTATAATAACTTGAAATATAGATGAGAGTTATAAGGATACATATCTAAGAATTTCTTTGATAAATTCCGCTTAAAGTCACATGAGCGCTATCGGCGCCAGCTGTTCCCAGTTTTGAAATTAAAGACTTGGTCATTAGAGAGAAGGTAGTAGCTAGTCAACAACACCCACTGCTATATCTTGCGCTTTTCTGGTTAGATCGGATAGTGGGATTTGATCTTCACTCTTATAACTCATCAACGACTCCCAAATAAGGATTTATCTATTTTTTTTGGCGGTAACAGTAAGCGATTCATTAAACTTAGCTCCACAAATTGTAGAGAGTTTTTAAAATAAGTCACTAAAAACTGAAAAAATTAAAGAGAGTTATACAAATACGTCACTAACAAATGCAAATACTAGGTATTCTTACAATGCGTCACTAACAAATGCAATTTGCATTTGTTAGTGACGCATTGTAAGAATACCTAGTATTTGCATTTGTTAGTGACGCATTGTAAAAATACCTAGTATTTGCATTTGTTAGTGACGCATTATAAGAATACCTAGTATTTGCTGTTGTTAGTGACGCATTGTAAGAATATCTAGTACTTACTAGGTATTCTTACAATGCGTCACCAACAACAGCAAATAATAGAGTGTTACAATACTTCGCTAACAGTTTCGAAGGCAAAAAAGTTAAAACAACACCTAACTGATTACTTCAAAAACGCCCCCCAGTGGCACAACGGCATGTCTGCGGATTTACAACGCTAGAAATCGGGTTTCGATACCCGTGGTGGGCAGAGTATTGGTGGGTGTATTACAACAATACGTCACTAATAACTTCAAAACTAGGGGGTATTACAACAATATGTGACAAATACCTTCAAAAACTAGGGGTATTATAAAAATACGTCACTAATAACTTCAAAACTAGGGGGTATTACAACAATATGTGACAAATACCTTCAAAAACTAGGGGTATTATAACAATACGTCACTAATAACTTCAAAACTAGGGGGTATTACAACAATATGTGACAAATACCTTCAAAAACTAGGGGTATTATAACAATACGTCACTAATAACTTTAACGACGGGTTTTT